GACAAAGGTAACGTGAATATAGGATTTGGGATTCTGTATGGTTTGACCTTCTTTTTTGCCAATTTTGGACCCAACACAACCACGTTCATACTTCCAGCGGAGCTGTTTCCGGCAAGATTCAGATCGACGTGTCACGGAATCTCCGGGGCAATGGGAAAAGTGGGTGCGATTATTGGGACTATTGGGTTTTTATGGGCATCAAAGAAACGTCCAGACTCGCCCGATTAACCCTATCCTGATAGGATGAGATGGGCATTAGTGTCGTTGGGGTTCGTGTGTCTTTTGGGTGCGGCAGTGACGTATTTCTTCGCGCGGGAAACCAGAGGTAGATCCCTAGAGGATAATGAGATCGACAATGACGATGATGGTCATGTGGAATTGTCTGCCTCCGGCTCCCTGCCTTCGGATCAGGTCCAGCCTCGAGCATGTGCTGCAACTGCCTAGATAAATACTTAGTGGATATCAATATCCTTGTAAACTAGTACCATAGAAAAAAAAGTGTTTATATGCTAAGTTTTTAAAATATTAAAGAAAAATATTGTAAAATCATGTTATTTTATTAAAATATTGTAGAAAAAGCATAAATAATATTATTTTTATTTTGGAAAAAATTATTTTAATTTAATAAAAATTTAATCAAATCATGATGTTTTTAGCTTAACATTGGATTTTATGTGAGAAGGAACTTTTTAAACTCCATTCATAAGGTTTGAAATCAAGATTTTATTAAAAAATAATTAAATTTTCTTTACTCAAATCAATAAATCATTTATAAAAATTTAATTAATAAATACATGTGTACCACATTCATTTTCTACGTACTAATCTTTGTTTACTTTATTAATCTCTATGCTTTTATTGTTTTTATCAATTCCTTATTTTTCGTTTATTTTGTTATTGGGTTGTAATAGAATCTAATTGTAAAATTATGAATATGTTGATCAAAGGATGATTTTATCTTCATCGTGTTTGGAACACAGTTGCTCTAGAAAAGAATGAGTTAACTAGTACTTGGTGCAGTCAATATTAATTTAATGTAATTCTACATTATACCTTTTTGATCATTTCAATATTTTAATAAATTACTAGAGAATGAGAAATATTTAATACAGATATACGTGAAGGGAAATGA